TATCAACAAGTGGTTTGTTTGGTTTTTGGGGGTTTTTTTTTTTTTCTTTTTTTCCAACAATACTCCAGGTTGAAAACTGGCTAGCTTTTTCCTTTAGATGCATTTCAGCTATTTCCTTTATTCTACTTAAGACAATAGTTAGGAAGATATATGTTTCTCAGTAAGAGAAACACCTTACTTGTTGCAATTGTTTAGGTCACCTTTTTTGGAATTTTTTTTTCATGCCAAAAATTTTTTTTTTTTTTAATTACTAATGCTTGTATTGAACGTAGTTAATGTAGAGAGATGTTAAGGTCTAGGGTGTGTTGCAGCTAAACTTCATTCTTCTTCCAGTTATATAGTCCTTGCACTAGCTTCACGTGAACAAACCCACACTGTAATCCTTTGTTTGGCCTACACTTATAAACTCCCTCTTGCTCAAACTGTGGAAGCAATTCAAGCAAGTAAACTAGCATCCTGTCAGCTGCAAGTTGAACCATGCATACGTAGGAAATTCTACTCATTTATGTACACACAGCCAGTGTCATTTTTAATTTGGCTAATTTTATATAATGGGCTAGTTGTTTTTTGGGGGGTTTTTTCCATGCAAGAATTCCACTAGGCTGGGGAGCAGTGTGCTTGAGGTCTCTGAAAGCAGCACTAATTAATTCTTTTAAGAGTTATCCTTTGTTGGTAAAATATCTGTTCACTTCCAAAATAAAATATGGAAAAATATTATGGGGAGAACCATTTCAAGAACAGTCTGACAGATTAAAAAAGAAGCTTGAGTGTTTTCTTTGCATCTTCTCTCCCTCATTAGATGCCAGTGAAAAAAATTCCCTATTATACTGTGAAGGATCAAGAAAGACCAGGAGACTATTTTGCTGAAGGGACATAGCATGATAGACAGAAGCTTGTTCAATAGTCAAAGCTTTTAAAGGCTTGTACAGTATTTGAGGAGAGTGACCTGTTTTATCTTTTGATTTCCTCCCTTGCCCGTTTGCTTGTACAGGGAGAACTTGAGTCTGATTGACAGTGTAGCCCCTTACGGCTATTCTGAAAGTATAAAACAGTTCTTATAGTGAGGTGGGAACACAACTTACCCTAAAGGGGCATCAAGACACCCTAGTGCAAATATGAATCGGACCCTAACACAACTTTGCTCCATGAGAGCAAAAAGAAAGTGATATGACACTCCATGAGCGCCTTCAGATAGCAGGGCCTATGTAGATCATCTTCTTGGTGGGAATTCCTGGAAGTTACCATCTAGTAGTTGCTGTTTGGTATGTGGGGAGTTGAAAAGGATGACTCCAAAAAGATATATGGCCCTCTCCTATATGAACTGGTACTACTGGGTATGTTTATAGTCTTGTTTGGATTTTGTGGGGGCTGTGGGGCAAACATTTGGCAATGGAAGAGGAAACCTTGCAGACACAAGTCTCTCTCAGTACTGTTCATCCAAGAACAACATGGGGATAGAGAAGTGCTTCTTGCAAGTGGCTGGCATGTTTTTCCTTTTAAAGTGATTTTTGCTGAAATGTTATTACTAATAATATATCGGGAACTCTAAGATATGTCTAAGCCATGGTGGCAGTGTCTGGCAGGACAATCCTGAGCTTATTCCACTTACTTGCTCCTGTTTTGTACTTTGGAACCAGAAATGCAGCAGTGATGCTGCTCCAGGGCATGACTCCCTGCAGCTTTTAACCAGGTTGGAGATGGTGTGTTGAACCACTGCGGGAGATGCCACCTGAGTTACCTGATTTATTGGGTTGGAACAGGTAGATGCAATGAGTTTGGGAGTATCCATACTGCTGCCATAGTGTAAAAATAGACTTATTTTTAGTCTAGGAGATGAAGCCCCAAAGAATTGCACAGGAGAGAGCAAACCAGGAACCATGCCCAAGGCATAGCTGTAACTAGTTGCCAGTGTTTTACTTGTTACCAGAGTTGATTTGCATGGTAAAAGGCTAAGTGGGTTTTGCTGACTCAGTAGTGCAGGTCCTTCATTATCCCACTTGGATATTAAGGAAGGGTAGGATCTAGGCTGGGGCAGAATAGTCCTATTGGAGAATATGAGGAACATGTCAACTTCAGTCAAGAACATTTCAATTTCTTTGGGTAAGCCAAACACCAGGAAGTTGTTAAGTTTGGATTTTAGTACAGTGGCTGTAATTGTATAACTCACAGTGAACAATGTCATGATCTGTAGTGTCAGGAAGCTACACTACACACTTTAGTAAAGTAGTCTCTTGTTATTGTTGATCTTGGAAGGATTGACATGGGGGGGTCAGAAACACCACGTGGTATTGGAAAGAGCTGACCAATATGAGCCTAGATACCTGCTCTTGAACTGTTAGAAGTCATCAAAACCATTGCAGTTTCTGTATCACATTGTTCAAAATCTAAATTTGATTGAGCTTAGGGTCTTGGGAACTTCAGATACGGAGACTGGAACTATTTTGCCATAACGGGTTTTTTTTTTTGGGGCGGGGGGTTGTCTGTTTGTTTGGGTTTTTTAAAGCTTTTTCTTAAAAACAAAAAACAACTTCCCACCTCTCGATGAAAAAGAAACCCTAGAAAAATGGGAAGTTTTGAAACAAGGCAACATTTGAAAAGTTGGTCAGTTTGAAGCAATGGCTCCTCAAACCAGAAAGTAACAATTGCTTTCTGAGGGAGAACAGATTTTTATTTATTTATTTATTTTTATGCTCTCCCAAACTGTAGTGCTGATAAGCAACTGCAAATGCAGTCCTATTCACGAATAACTTAGAAGTGGCAGTTTAGTGGTCCCCATGGTACCACCAGAGCTGCGGAAACTTAAGACAAGTAAAGCCTGTTCATTTTCCAGGAAAGGTGCAGATGTGTTACCTTAGGGCTATGCTACCTTGCATTCAGATTGAACTGTCTTGTCTGCTAAGAGCTAATTTTTCATTACAAATAACCTCCTTTGCAGAAAACGTGCAGGGTGTTTTGTTTTTTTAGTCAACAACCCACCCGTAACTGAAGAATAAGGAACTGCAAAAGTGTAGGGTGGAAACAAGTGAAGGGATCATTTGGGGACCATCCGTCCTACACTCTAGTTAATGATAGTTTTGTATTATTGAAATGGTTTCCTTCTCCAGCAGAGTGTTTTATTTAAGAGAGATTAATTTGTCCCATCAAATAGTGATGTAAAAATGTCAGAATTGGATAAATATAACTCTGGAGCTGATGCCAGGTGTTTATAGTTTCATGTATATAATATATACTCCTTGGCTCCCACTGCACTTGCTGTCTGACTCTTCTGTATACTGGTATTCCATCTTCGAGCTGTACCTTGCCTTCATAATCTCTTTTGCACATGTGAAGAAAGTGTTAAATGTTACTTTACCAGAGGAACAATGCTGTATGTCTACAAGCTGATTTTTCCTCTATCTTTGAACTCGGTATGTAACTCATTGTATTGGAGATAATCTTCAGTGAGGTATCTCTGAAAGGATCAAACTTTGAGTAATGGGACATCATAACATTTGACGCATAAGAAATTTTTGTTTAATGTTTAATTTAATTGGTCAGGCTTTTCATGAGCTACTTCGAGTCAGCTGATTAGCTGTAACAGGAAAGAGATGAACTTCCTATATACTCTAGTGCGGTTTTAGCCATCTTCATTTTAAAAAAAAAAAACCAAACAACAACTTACAAATTAGTGAAACAGTAATGAAGGTAATGGATATATACTGACATAATCACAGTGCTGTATTTCTTGCCTTTATAAGTACTGTGGAACTTGCCTGAGATGACAATTGATTTCCACTTGAGATGCAAGTCAGCTGTGTTTGTAACATGGTTCAGCTGTTGAAGACACCCGGAGTACTTTCATAACCAAGAGGGCTAGTTCACAGCCTGGATAATCTTCACATAATGACACCTCTCCCATAATAATACTTCATGTTGCATTACCAAATGTACATTGCCAAATGAGCTTGCATTATTTATCTTAACAAGATTGGAGTATGTGGGTGGTGCAAAACAGTCCTTTGCTCAACGCACAAAGACAGTTCTTTACCTTGGGTGCATTCAGATAGAACTAATAAGTGGCTGCTTAATATGAATAGCTTTCGTGCATGGGGTAGACTCAGCTCAGTGAAGAATATATATTATGTATGTATGTGAAATCTAATGTCTATGAAATATCTTGGATGGGAAGTATTTTTTCTCTGTCTCTCTTACCACGGCTTGTGTCCCTGCAAAAGTTGAACTCTTAAGGGAGTTTTATCCCTACCTAATATCATTGCTTAGTAGTCCTCAAATTTGTTGCCATTCACTGCATGAGAGAATTTATTTTTGATTCGGGGAAGAGCGCTGGGCATGCATTTGTTGTTATGTTAGTCCTTGTATCACTGTTTGCCAATAAAAATAATTGCCCTCTCTGTTTGCAACTTTCCAATTCTGAAATGGAGGATGATGGGTGGGGGGTTGGGTAGGAAGCAATCAAAAGTATAACATGTCTGTTGTGGGGTTGGTTTGTTTGGTCTTTGAATTTTATTCAGAAGGTACTTTTACAAACTCCTTGGCCATCTACTTCCTTTGTACTACTCTGTGGCTTTTTCCTTTTTAAAAAACATTGGCAAAGTCTGAATTTAGAGGGCCATATTTTTCTAGATAATTATGAATGCCATTGCAGCACCTGTACATAGTTCATCTGTGAGCAACAGTAAGCAAATGAACAAGGCTTGTGAAGTACTACAAATGGTAGAGCCAAACCATGGGACAGGGAATTTAAAAAAAAAAGGTTGGTAAAGAAGAGAGAAATCACTAGTTTCCACTTGGACCTCTGCCAAATGTGATACTTGGCTTGCTCTAAAATGTACTAATGGGTATAAAACAATGAATTCCACAATCTATTATTAATAGTCCATACTTACTTGAATAGAAGACAACCCTGATTATAGGATTATCCCTCCCCCCATTTGATTCTATATATGGAAAACTTTTATTTATTTATTTATTTATTTATTTATTTTATTATAATTTTTCAGGTTTAGAATCTAGTTATTGGAGATTACCAGTGGGAAGAAGACAAATTCTAGGCTACAGCAGGGAAAATGCATCTGGTAGGTCACTCTCTGCTTTGCCCCAACTCTTTTCCCTGAGATCCCCTTCCCCCTCTCTTTACTGTCAGACCTGCTTTACCTGAGCTCATAGAAGCCAGGTAAATTTAAAAAACAATAACCTTGAAAATAAACATGGCTGTAGCAATTTGCATATAGTACCAATACATTTTGTTCATCCAGAATTGATGCATGTTATCTTTTTTGAAACTTCTGCAAGTTCTAACATAAGAACTCCATAAACACATTTTTGAGCAGAACTTTGGCACCTGCTTATATGTAGTATAAACTATGGATGATATCAGTCCAGAGGCTTATGACTTACTGCATAGTTCATTGGGCCAGGCCCCATGAGTCGGCAGCACTTCAAGCTGTGGTGACCTCACAGCTCAGCTCTGTGTATATGTGTGTGTCTACACTCCAGATACCACCCCCATGACTGGAACTAGGTGTTCTTGCCACAAGTCCTGGGATGCTCCAAAAATGTATATGCAAATGAGGCACAGAGCAACCTGGTCCAGCTTCACCTCTTGAAGAGCAGGGCCACGCTAATTGTATGTCCCAGGCTGAGAGAGGGGCATCGGAGGAATTCTGTTTGGGACCCTATTTCATGATGTTTGCCAGGCATTTAAGGCTGGTTAGGAAATGGGAATAATTGGAAACGGGACAAAGGCACAGCTCAGCTGTTGGAGTGAAGAGGAAGTCAAAAAGTATGCAATATTGTATTTCACCATTACTTGAAAAAGTCAGCTGTGAGCGGGACTATACTTAATGGGCATTACACATGTCTTGCACAGATGGGTTATACTAATCTATTTTGTGTTAGGTTCCTATCAGTATCTCAAATATAGCATTTTTGGCACCAAACAGAGGATATTAGGGCTGGTATTGCAGTATCTCCACGTGCGGTGCCAGTTCCCTGTAGAGAGAACACCCACCTTTTTTTTTTTTTTTTTTTAAGGGATATGGACATAGTTCCCATCAGCATATTGGTACAATGTGGGCTGTGAGTTTTATAGTCATGCTTGGTGTTGGCTGTATTTAATCAACCTCATAGTTGGTTTCTTTTGCTAAGCACATGCTGCTTTTGGCAACAGTTTGATAGACAGTGTATTAGTAAGATTTCCTTGTATGCAATTATAAAATGAGGGGTGCTTTTCCCCATGCCGATTTTGGAGGGGGTGGGGGGATGTAGACCTTATCTTGTATTTGAGTAATTATGGTCAATAGATGGAGATGAGGGAAAAACAACTAATATAGGAGTGAGGAAAATTGTTTTAGGACAAGACCTCAAATTTATAAATGTAAACTGTAAAGGCTTACAAGCTGAGGTGTAGAAAGTATCTGATTGCTGAATCCAGAATCATATGTAATACTATAAACCCTGTCTCCAAAAGACATGGAGCTATAGGGAAGTGCAGAGAAGATACTTTACTAGTGATAGACAGGAGTATACTGCATTGTCCCTTTAAGGAGTGGAACAAAGCATCCATGTGATTTTGAGGAGAAGTGAGATCATAGTGTGATTATGACCACATATGTGAACAGTAGAGCAAAGGACTTTAATGCAGCTAATTCACAGTTTAAAGCCAACACATCACACAGGTGATGAAAGAGAAGCAGTTGGTACGTCTGATTTGAATTACTCTTTTGAAATGTCTTCTCTACATATTATACTGATGTTCTTGCTTACACAGGCAGTTAGAAGGATCCCACATTTGTCTGTAATAAAACTTAAAACCGTCTTGCCCCATGATTTTTGGAATATAAAGGGCTTAAGCTTTTATGCACCTACATTCTAAATTCTTTAAAACAACCAAAATTTAAAAAAACAACATTTTGGTTGATTTCAATATTAGAGTTATAAGTTGGGTGAATATATAGTTCTATTTTATCCCCCTTTTGTATTCTTTTTTTGCTAGGATACAAGAACCAATTTTTGTTTAGCCTGTCAAAATAAGAGAGGCTCTCCATTTTCCCCCGTATCCTAACGGCTATTTTCTGGACCTGGTCCAGTTTGAATCCATCTTTATTATTTGAAGATGGCTGATCAGCCATGTGGTGTTCCATCTGAGATCTTCTGGGTGTTGGTTTTGCATCCTGCACCAGTAGTTCTAGTGTCTTCATTTTGTCTGTGTTACTTGCATTTGTGTACTAACATTTCTTTTGTTCTGTAGGCTGCTGGCAGACATAGTGCTTAAGATCTGATTAACTAGTTAATCGCATCTTAAATGGTAACCCAGCCACGTGTTCAGGCAATTTAACGGTGGAATAAAATGGGAAATAAGCCACACAATTATTCCACAGAGTATGCTTAATAATTTTGTGGCTGGCTTCCATTGTGCCTTAAATTGAACGCATGGCAGGGTTAGAACCCCACTGGGATCTCCACTCTGCCCCAGTGCGGTTCCTACTGGCCAACAAATCAACTGATTGTTGGCTGGCTCTGGGGACAACTCTGGAGCCGACTGTAGCCTTAGTGCAGCCCTGATCTAGTCAACAATCAGCTGAACATCTGCTAGCTTTGGGGACCATACCAGGCTTGAACAGAGGTCATTTGGAGCCTTGGGGCCATCCCAATCCAGCTGACAATCAGCTGATTGTCAGGCACCCAATTTTCAACTTGCCGATGCAGGGGGAGTTTGGGACCATGATCCCATGCTCCCCTATGCTGACAAGTGGGGTGCAATTGAGACTCGATTCCCTGATCCCAATTTGAATGTCTTGCCATGCGTGCATGGCATTGGAGGAGGCATGAGATTTTGGGATCTGTGACCTTATCCCATTTTAAATGAACCTCTGTCCATGGCCTTGCTTACCATTCCATGATCCATAACTGGATTAGAGTGCATTATACAATAGCATTAATGTTTCGCATCTCTACTGAAACTTGCTCTCCTGATGGATCCTAGAATTGCTTTCTGCCTTTTTTTTTTTTCATGGTTGCATCACACTAGTGGCTCAGTTACCTCATGATTGGTATACCTAGGTGTTTGTTCTGTCTTTTCATGATCATATAATTCATAGCAGAAAGTCTTGTTAATCCCTATATGTATAACTGTTTACAGTGAAATATCATCTTGTTTCTATTAATCCAATGTGCCCAAATTCATTAGACTTGCTCCTACTTCTTGTCTAAGTTCATTAATAAAAATATTAAATGACAGTGATCCCAAGACCAAGGCTATAATGACTTTCCTCTAATATTCTTCTACCCTATCCTTCCCTTTTTTTACCTTGTTGTTACTATTGTTTGATACTTGTTGTTGTTGTTGTTGTTGTTTCTCCTTTAGCCAGTTCTGTATTCACCTTGCATTCTTCAAGTAGACCTGAAAAGACAGGAAATACAAGAGCAACATGGGGAAACTTAGTATTGGGTGCTTTTACTGAAGTCCTGATTTAAAGCTAACACATTTCCCTTGTCTGGAAAATAACTTATCAAAGAAAGCTATCTGGTTAGACTGGTATGACTTACCTTGATAAACTGTGTTTGCATTTTATCTGGGGGATTTTTTCCATTTTCCTCCTTCTGTTTAAGGATATGTCTATGCTGATATTCATGGCTGAGATTTGTCTTCAATTAACCTGATCAGGCCTACCCCCTTTACCTTTATAGTTCACACCAAAGGTCACTTGGTTGCCATTTTTTCTCATGCGTGGCACGAATATGTATCCCAGGTTACCTTGTGCCATGCAGAACTATGCGTCCTTCTAAGAATTGGTCTCCTGATTACTGCTTAGAAGGAGATACAAAAGGGATGCAGAAGGATCAGAAGATTAGAACAGGAAAATGTGGGATTTCTATTGGTGGCCTTTCTGTGGTCAAGGCTGCAGTACCACAAAAAGGGATGGTTTGAGAAGTAAGTGGTTATCAGGGTTGACCTGCTAAATTTTCAGCTGAGAGTTTCCAAGGTTGGAATGGACTGCCACTGGGGATTGTGTTCATGGGTTTGTAGAATAGATGGTCATCCTGTATAGGATTGAGAGCTATTTTAAAGTAACCTGAGTATCATTGTAGACATACTTTTTGAAGGAAGAATCTTTAAAAAACAAAAAACCCACCCTTGTATCTTGTTGCAATTGGATTATGGGCCTGTATTTGTTTATATCACATCTTCCTCGCCTATCTTAAATATAGGTGCTGTCTTTTGCTGTTTTCCAGTCATATGGTGCTATCTTGAATTCAATAGGTTTGTTAAAACCAAACCAAAAAGAAAAAAAATACTATAGCCATTCCTACAGTTTCACATTCCAGCTTTTTTGGAACTCTGGGATGGAGATCATCTGTCTCCTGACTTGATTGTATTGGTGTGGTTGGTTGGTTTTGTTTGTTGCTTTCTTCCTGCTTGTAGTAAATGTTATTTCCAGACCCTCAGTCCTATTAACTACTTCCCTTTTTGGCCCCGTGTTCAATTTTATGCTTCTCTTTCTCCTTGAAAGATGAAAGACATTTATTTCATTTTGGGGTCATACATGTTAAGATTATCTTTGATTTTTCTGTCCTACCCTCTCACTGAAGAACAACTCCTATTTTTTTTCCGTTCTCTTTAAGTGAGCTAGCTCATACAAGGCTGGATTAGCCTCCAGTGTGAGCCACCTTCTTGGTGAAGAAATCTGCCAACTTTCGCATCCAGGAATATCTGGGCCTTACCGTTTATTAGTAGCATTTTTCCTCCAGTATATGGAAAGGAAATTAATCTCAGAATGAGACTATTCCCAGTAGGTTTTTCTCTCTCTTATTGTTAGATTTTTTTTTTTTGTCTATATCCAAATATGACTCTGAAAATCTACACCACACTTGCAGACATACCTCCAGGGAACCTATCTTTCCTCAGTGTCTTGACCTATTCAGATGCAGTTTTAGCTATGCTATGTTGTTTTATTTTTTAATTAAACACATTTGTTATTGTAAAGTGCTACCTCACCATCTCTTTACCTCTTCTGAACGGTGCGTGCCCTTGTTCTATTCCTGACAACTATTACAACATATTTCTATTATCCTT